TCTGAGCCTGTGGTGAGGTCAAGCACCATGGCATAAGCATAGCATATGGCAGAGGCCGTTCACCTCATGGCACAAGGGATTGAAAGAGACCAGCGACCAGGTATAACCTTCAGACAATGTCCCTAGTGACCTACTTCCTGCAATTAGCCCCACTTCCTAAAGTTTCCACCACCTCCCCCAAAATATTGCCATCAACTGATGACCAAGTGTTCAACACATGAGCCTATGTCAAACCGTAGCACTGGAGCAGGTGCACTGTGTTTTGGATCCTTACTGCATTCAGCACTGTGCTGAGACAGACACTATTCCTCCCCTTTCAAAGATGAGGACGTTGAGTCTCTGTGGGGTGGTATCTAAGAACATGTAACTTGTTATTTTGAATCTTGGTCTTGCTGATTCTTTTTCCTTCACCTTTCCATCTCAATAAATAAATATAGGTTGACTTTTTTTCTTTCTCTAATCTATTGGGTAAAACAGAGTGGGGGGCTTAAAAGTTATTAGTAACCAAGTGTTCTCTGGTGTGCTAAGTCACACCATGAAATGAAATTTTGCCTTATTTTAGGTATCATTAGTAGCATTTCCCTCTTGAACTTGGGTTCCTTATGGTTTTTCTTTACCTCTTTCTCCTTAATTTCAAGCAATGAGCATTTGCCATAAATGTATGTAATAAAAATGTTACAGGAAATGTTCTGCAACCATCAAAAATACTCCAACAATCTTTAGGATTATAAAAGTGGAAAACACAATGGATCTGAGAAAAAAGCTACATGTTCTAAGAAATGATATGTTTATGGAGGTCACATGAAGGGTTCCTCCACAAGATGACCTTCCTGATTTTATTTATACATAAAGATCTTAGTCGGAAAGAGACTACTAACCAGGTAAGAGAATAGTGTAGACAAAAAGTTACAATCTTCTCACTTTTGATTAGTCTAAAGGAGATAACTAAGAATAGCTGTAAATTTTACTGCCTTGTTACCTAGAATGATTCTGAAAGGTTAGCATGTATAAGCGTGTAAGCTCGTCACTCTTTCCTTTGACATTGACATTTGGTCCCTATTAATTTAGTCTATGGACAAAGGTAATGGCAATGAGCTAATTTTGTTTATTTATTTATTCTATCAGTCATTCCTACTTTATTCAATTAATCAACAACATTTTAAATAATGTTGAGTGTAAGACTCTGTGTTAAATATGGGAAAAAGTAAAACAGAGATGACTTAGCCTCTGCTTTCTTTTCCAGAACAGAGGCTCTTGTGCCAAGAATGCTCATTCATCTTAATTAACATTTTCCTTGCCAGGTAGAAATTACAGCAGCATTACTCAATACAAAATATTAAATGGAGATTCTATAAAGCAATATGATTACTCTATTAATTCAGAAAAGGGAAGATGGAATAAGAGAAAAGATTGAATTTGTAGATATGAAAAAAGCAGCTTAACTGAATTAAAATGATATTCAGAAACTAGATTGCCAGAAGTTTTCTTCCATGTGGACTTTTGAAAATATTTTTTAATCAATAGTTTAGCTTCATTGTAAAATTACAGTGCCAGTTATTTCTATAGGTTAAGAGAGCTTAAAAGAAAAATGTGTATCCTTCTAACTTGTCAAATGTTTTGGAAATCTTATTGCACTATTAATTTTCTTAACAGGCTTGCTGCTACCCACTTCCATAGCCATTAGTGTCATGTGTTAATGAGTACTTACAATGTAGCTAGTCCCAACTGCTCACAGATGTGCTGTGGGTGTGACACATATACACATTTCTAACAGTTGACACAAAAGCTCTGTAAAATATCTCAATAATTTTATAATGATTATATGTTAAAATTCTAATAGTTTTGGATATGTTGGGGAAAATAAAATAAACTCTATTTTTACTATGACTATTAAGAAAATTTAAAATTAAGTATGTACCTTCCATTGGGCAGCACTGTTATAAATAATACAGAGGAAAGCTTCTAAGGCTTTAATAGATTCTAATTATTGTCTGTGGAAGATGAAAATAAAGTGATAAATGTCTCTAATGGATCTGGAAACCCATCCTTCCCAATCAGGGCAAATAGAAGCTAAATGCAAAGGGTTAACCTCGGATCAAGTGAATGAGCCTTGAATTCAGAGCAATTGCAAATGTAAGAATGGTGGAAAATCACACATTTTTCACTTACTGCCCCTAAAGAGCTGGCCCCAGAATGGAATTAAAGGTATAGGGGTTTTAGGAGAATGATCCCTATATCAAACATATGGTCGTTATATATACATGCGTAAAACCAAGAATCCAGGATCAAAGATGATGAAGATTGGAGTGGAAAGAATGTAGCACACTGGGAAATCAGTTAAAAAGCAAGCTTGGGGCTGAGGACCTAGATCAGTGGTAGAGAGTTTGCTAGCATTTGAGAGGCCCTAGATTCAATCCATAGCACTGCATTGAAAGAGAGAGAGAGAGAAAGCCCGCTATGATTCAGTTGTGTCCCTAGGAATTCATGTGTTGTAAACTTAGTCCCCAAAATGTTCGTGGTACTGGGAGGTAGGCCTTTGGAAGGTAATTAGAGTTAGATGAGGTCAGAGGGTGGCCTCCCATAATGGGGTTAGCAGCTTTATAAGAAGAGAGACCTATGCTGAGCTTGCTCTGTGTTGCCATGTGATGAGCTCCACCATGTTACGATGCAGCAAGAATGTCCCCACCAGACCCCAGCACCAGGCTATTGCACTTCCCAGCCTCCAGAAGTATGAGCTAGGTAAGCTTCTGTTCTTTATAAAGAACAGATTGCATGTGTGCAGCATGCAATCATAGCAACAGAAAATAGACTAAGTCAACCTCACTGGACCCTTCGAGCCCCAACCTGCCTGCCATCTCATGTGAGCCAGTGAGTGACCTTCCCTGAAGGTTGACCATACTCAAAGTTAACATGATGGTGTTGAAATGTCATTTTTTTCTGTACTTTGCCTTCTCTATTTTGTCCCTGTCAGCTCTTCCTCTCTTTTGCTCTCTTGATGTCTGAAATTCTGTCTCAGTTCATCCACAAGGTCCAGCCCAGGACACCTTCCCCACCTCCATGATAATCCAGCCTGGTGGGTCTCACCTCTTGCAGTCATGTCCATTTCTTTATTGCTTCAGTTACATCTAAGGCAGCTTTGCTAACTCAAAAAGTTTTTTTAATTTAAAAATAGCATACTCACATGATTATGGAAGAAGGTAAAGTTGCAGACAGATTTATTATACTTCATCAAGGAACAGAATTACTTCTCTCCACATTCAAGGAAACAAAATATCATAGCAAGAAGTTATTTTAAATTATATTCATTATTTAACAATAATTAGTAAGAAAGTAGTTCAACGAATACAAATGAGTAAATTGTTTGATATTTTCATATAGCAGAATTGTCTACAACTATTAAAAGTCATGCTTTTGAAGACTAATGACAAAGGAAAGTCACATGATAAAAATCAATAAAGATACATAAATAAAGATAATTTGATCTGACTCTAACTGTGAAAAACAAAATACATAGGAAATGTTAACAGTGGCTACCTCTATTGCGATTTTTCTTTTCATACAGTTTTGTGTTTTTAAAATTTTTTACAATTCACATATATTACTCTTATAATCAGAAAAATATATACATAAAATAAACTATTGATTCTCTTGTGTTATATTTTAATAAGTTTAATTTTATAAAGAATACCACCAGAAGTTTATCTTTCATGGAAAAAAATCATACCACCTCTCAAGATGATATATAATACAGTACAGTATTTTATTATACACTACATCCTTGTGTCAGCAAATACCTGTTGTGACTGGTTTATCTTGCATGATAAGATATAGAATACTCTATAAAATAACTCCAGTGTAATAGGGAGACTTCCTTGACTGAAAATCAGCAAGACTTATTTAAAGGGCATTAAAGGAGAAGACCTAATGAGCCCTTTCTGTAGAAATCAGTAGCATGCTTCAGTGTAAAAATTGAAAGCAAAGCTGGTTTAAAGCTACTTCCACCGATGTAGAAACATAAATGGATCTTGAAGATCACAAAAACAAATCTTCCAGTGTTATCAGACCTAATTGCTTTTGAACCTATTAAGAAGTTTTAAAACTATCAAGTAAAAGAATTTATAGCACATTCTGAAGAATAGAAAGTCAGGTCACTCTTCATAGAATGAGTTATCGTTTCATCCTTTTTTCACTCAGAAAAGGTCATTTCATTCCAAGGTCTGCTCAAAAATAAAAGGATATATAACTAGATTAATCGTGTTTCTCATAAAAAGCAGGTTTTCTTCCTTTCCTCTGCCTAGAGGTCCTGGAGTATTCTGCCTTTACGATTATTTCCTGAAGAGGCTGACACCTCATGAGTCATCTTTATTTTTTTTGCAAACATTTATCAAAAATCTCCTGTGCTCAGACCCTCAATGAGAAAACAGCAAGAAAAAGCCCACAAGGATCTGGAGTTTAAACAGCAGCTCAAAAAACTCAAATAAAATACAAATTTCCATAATTTACTCTCTAAAGGTAGCTTTAGCCAGATACACAAATTAATACAGCAGCATTTGATAGAAACACTGCTTTTTAAATGAATGTTTCAGCCTAGGGTCTCTTTTCCTCTCTTCTATATATATCCTGCCATCTTATTCATTGGAAACTTGGTTAGGTAGAGGCATTACCATTAGGTATTATCATGGCAGTTGAAAGACTGTTTCTTGGGTCTTACTTTTTTATTCTAACACACTTATTCAAGAAAAACATGAAATTTAAAAATGGACACACATATAAAATTTCCCAATCTGGTCCATCAAATTTCTATCCAAAGTTTGCATTAGTATGGTTATCATTTTTATGCTTTCCTTATAGAAGGTGTTGTAGAAATTACGGTACCTGTTGATTTTTTGGTGGGGAGGGAGTTGTTTGTTTGGTGGTACTGAGGTTTGAACTCAGGGCCCTGTGCTTGCTAGGCAGGCATTCTACCACTCAAGGCATACCCTCAGCTCCCTGTTGCTTTCTTAATCACTCCAATAGACAGCAAATTCAGGCAGTGCCCACCGTGTTCAATATTTTACAGTCACCTACACCTGTTTTGAACCTCTGTCATATGCCACTGAAAGGTTTTCCAGAATACAGCTGCATGAAATTTAATTTCACAACACTGAGAGGTGCACATAGTCAATGTTTGCACGTAATTATTTCAAAACAAATGGCTACTATTTATAACTTCTCCTGCCTTTCTTATTGTAGTAAAAAATAAGGGAAAGCAAAATAACAAAAGCAAAAAATAGAAACCCAATGAAGACCAGTAAAGACTTCCGAGTGTGAAAAAAGCTGCATTCAGTGCACACGGTGTATTCTTCCGGACAAAACCTTCCCAGACTTTCAGAGGACAGGAAACCATTGCTGTCAATAATTTTCCTGTAATGTTTCATAGATGGTTTGGGCTCAAACTGATTGGCAGCATAACGATAGAGGCCAAACTTTGGAGCTGAGCGATCATTAAATGAATAAGCAAAGTATCCACAGAGGTTGATACCATCCAATATGTAGGCTAGAAAAACAAAAGGACAGGAGAGGAGTTATTAAAATATTTTGCACATAACACATTTCTTTTGCATAGCCTTGGTGCACCAGGGAAAATCTCCGTATCATTTAATAAAATTTCAGACCTAATTAGATTTAATCAGAAAAGACTTCTTTTATGCAAAGACAAATAGGCAAATATGAAGTGTCAAGAAAAATATGGGTTTACATTGAAGCTACAGTTGGTTGCACATAATTAAGCTTATTATTACACACTTGGTTTAAATCTTTATGTAAATCAAGCTGAAAATGGGTGTGGGGCCATCTGAAATGGAAGACAAAAGTCAATGCTTTGATAGCTCCAGAGAAGGAGTTAGATATTTCTGGTCTTCCACTTTTCCCTAAGCCCTTTTATCCCTGGGGAAAATACTAGCTATCTCTTGGACTATTTCAGTGTGACCAGGAATTGATGGTCCTTCATTGGAGTGACACTGTGCTTTTCTGTTGGAGCATTTCTATTAGGTACCACACCCTCTGGTGACATGACCTCCAAGAAATGAGGGTTTCAGGGGCTCCTTACCTTTCAGGGCCTCATTTACATAATTCTGTATGTAGTACACCCTCAACTTGTCTTGCTCCTCCCGAGGATCGTCATCAACGCCATTGGCTATGATGTACATGGGGAGGTCCCCATACTTTAACCTCAGCCAGTTGAGCATTTTGCGCAACCCCCAGGGCACCACCGCCACCTGGCTGGGGGAGTTGAGCCATGTGATGTCGGTCATTTCTTGCACTTCTAGATAATCGTTGTATTTGATGGGGTCTTCCTTTTCCCAGTCTACAAGGATAGTGGTGTAATGGCTTAAAGCCAAAAAGTCAAACGTACCCTGGATTAGTTTTTTTTCATCTTCGGTGAAATAAGGTAGAAGAAAATTATTTCTTTGGTTCAGCCAGTCCCTCATCACACGTGGATAATCTCCAGAGCCAAAAATGGGCTCGGCCAGCCAGCCAATGTCAAATTCCAAAACTCTCTCGGCCACCTCTTTGTCCTTTGGGGAGAAAGGGCAGGCCGGTTCTATCCAATCGGCCTGCAAGGCGATGGATATTTTGCCCTTCTGAAGCGGCCTGAACTTCTCATCATACAGGCGCCATGCCAAGGCGTGGGCCTTGAGCAGGTGGTGGCCGGCGCGGTAGGTCATGTTGCGCGTGTACGGCTCGTTCAAGGTGATCCAGAACTGGACGCGGTGGCCGAGCTCTTTGAAGCACAGGCCCGCGTACTCGGCGAACGCCAGGGCGGTGCGCGGGTTCTCCCAGGCCCCGTGCCTGGCCAGGGCGCGCGGCAGGCCATGGTGCGGGGCCGCGGGCTGCCACAGGGCCACCACGGGCGTGATGTTGGCGCGCACCAGCTCGCCCACCACGCAGCGATAGTAGCGCAGGACCGTGCGGTTCACCTGCGACTGGTTGCCCAGGGGCAGGATCAGGGCCCAGTCCAAGGAGAAGTGAAAATGCGTGATGTGCATCTCCCGGAGTAAGGCCACCTGGGGCCGGATGGCCGCGAAGTCCACGCAATAGGATTTCCTCTTTTTGGCCACAGCCCCGTCCACTTTAATGAGCTTCTTGCTGCGATGAACGTCCCATAAGTAGACATTCGGGTCGGTAAACTGAGACAGAGTGGTGTCTACCTGCAGAAAACGGAGCGGATGCTGTCAGCTTCACCTGGGCAGCCCTGAGGCAGTCACTGGGTGCAATCATGTCAACAAAGCTAGCAAGCCAGAGGAGCAAAATCAGGCTCCTTTAGAGCCGAGAATCAAAATCGTTTTTCATCAATTGTAACTTCCTCAGGAAGAAAATATTCCACGTTTTTTTAACGCCCATGGTTCTTGCTGACTCATAAACTGTTACATCATGCTTTTAAAAATCTGAATTGTTTCAGATCAAAACCACTAAGGATTTTTGCACACAGGCAGTTTGGATACAAGCAGAGAACGTTGGGATGCTTTTGTTTCTTTTTTTGTTTGTTTGTTTGTTTTGTTCTGTTTTGTTTTTTTGAATTAGGGTTTTACTGTGTAGCCCAGGCTGGCCTGAAAATCAAGATCCTCCTGTCTCATCCTCCCCAGGGATGGGATTACAGGCACATGTTACCACACCCAGTTTGGATGTTTTTTTCTTTCATGTAAGAAATCACTAAAGGCTCAAGGCTGCTTGTTTTTTAGCAAACAAAAACAAATTTGTGGGGAGGTACAGGAAGGAGGATCAAAGTTTGAGGCCAACCCAGCCAAAGTTATCAAAAGACCCAAAAGGATGGGGGAGCGTGGCTCAAGTGGTAAAGCACTTGAGTGTGATGTCCTGAGCTCAGTCCCCAGTGTAGAAAAAAAAAAAAGTTTAAAAAATAGAAAAAAAAGTAAAGAAAAAGAAAAAGCTGAATCAAAGTCAGAAAATGCCATGATATTATTAAATTGTGCTTCCGTATTGAGGTTTCTGTAAGTGCTAAAAAGCAAAGCTGTTGTCTTTCCTTGGCTTCAGGGTCAGTGATAGAATTTAGCTAATGCAGCCCTATGGTAGAAAGTTCAAGAGAAAATGTGGAAATAAGGAACAAATTTGTCATCACCCATAGAGGGATTTTTTAATATGCAGTTTTAGTTCTTTAGTACTCTAAATGACTTTCCTTAATAATATTGAAAATCATCGTTCTCAATCATACAATATATAAGCCTCTAAAATGAAAATAGGTCTTTAGGAAAGGTGACAAATTGTAAAAGCAAAATCACAATATCCTCTGTCCACAGCTTACACACAGAATGAAACGTTCTCTGAGGCAGTCCTGGTAGAACAGGTGTCTTGATGTGATCCCCCCCCTATAAAAGCAGGGGTCAGGCCAACCCCAGGTTTGAAGCTTTAGTTTTATAGGCCTGTCCTAAACTCACTGCCCATTCTCTGATGGGTAAGAGCTGTGTTTGTAAAGGAAAGTAATTTTAAAAAAACAGCATGTCAGAGGGAAAGTGTAGCTCCCCCTAATGCTATGGGAATGCCGTCTCTTTCCACTGCCTTACACCCACAAATCATGCTCTATTTCCCAGGAGAAAATATTTGCATGCTCTTTTGAAGTAAAAGTGTTCAGAGTTCGGAGAAATTTTTTGGATTTTTTTATAAAGCTCTGAATTGACTAAATTCGTAACTGTTCTACCAGAATCATCCCAAAACAATACCTTTTATTCAATCCATCTGAAAACAAATATGAGAGATCACAGTATAATTTTTTTATGGGGGGGATCAATTTCTTAAAAGGAGAGGACATTTAGAAATGAATAGACAAAATTCCATCTATCTTCCATTAATTTGTTGACTTAGTTTTTACTAAAAAGTGAAATAATAAAATTGGGCCTTTGGGAAGGACTGGGTAGAAAGCGTTTATTTAGTATGTTATGGAAGAAACGCCCTCGTCATGGGGACCAATGTCAAAGAATCTCTGTGTCCTCGATATGTAGCACACTCTGTACCTCTTTCAACCACACGCTTTAGTGGTTGTGGAAAAACAAGCCTGCTAGGTGAGAAAAATGGGACCAAGTAAAGTGACATCAATCCCAATGTCAGACTCCTGACAGGTCGTGTGGTTACTGGAATATTATTTTTAAAGTTACTCAGGTAAAAACAAATGCCTCAACCATTAAGAATTTGGAACACTAGCCAGTAGGGAAAAGATGAAATCAGGGGTTTTAAAAATCACTTCTCAGGACTTTAATGTAACACTGTACAAGTGTAGCGCCCCCTCCCCAGCTTGTCAATGAAAACACATACTCACCTCAGAACTCAGAGAACAAAGAATGATGTCACCTGGGGAGTTTGCTTGGGAAGCACTTGGCCAACAATGCAAGGGCCCAGGTGCAAGCCAGAAAGAAGAAAATGGAGAGCTTCCTGCCCACCATGACTTTGAGAGTGACTTAATTTTGTGTTTGTTGGGATTCTGCATAGGGGGATCAAACAGGTGGAGGGGTATGTCCTCTGACCTGCTGAGCTAAAAGGACAGGAAACCTGAGAGAGGGCTGCTGAGGGCTGCCCTGAGATCAGATTCTGAAATAATTGCTTTTAGCCTGTGAAAAAGGGATTTTCTGCCATCTCCCTGCCTACTCACTGCCAGAGCAAAGCTGCTGTTCTTTCACATAGGATGCATCCTTAGTACCTTCTCTCTATTTTGGTCCCAAAGCAAAGGCATAGCCCTTCCACGTGTACAATGGAGAAACGTGTACAATGGCTCTACCTGACAGCCTTGCCTCCCTCTGTCCTCATGGTCTGCACAGAGATGCTGCCTGGAGTCTTCTCCACACCAAAGGACTGAACTGAAGCTACCTGCCTGACTGGCTGCTATCAGAGATCAGGGAAAGCATGAGTCCTTCAGCGACAAGGCACTATGTCTGCAGGGAGTGGGCAGAGGTCAAGAGATAGAAGGAGGACCAGGTACCATCCATCTAATCCATGCCCAGACCCAACAAAGCGGAGGAAGAAAGGGGCTGTGGGAGGCATCTTCTTCCCTGCCTTCCTTTCTCCTCTCCTCCTTCTTAACTGGACCCATTTCTGCCACCCCAGAGCCCCACTGTGGATCGCACATTCAGGAGAGAAATTTGGACTGAACGGGGAAGAAAGAAGACGCAGGGAGGAAAATCCTGCACTGCAAGACGAAGCTGAGAAGTCTTTCTGTTGCACTCCCATAGCCTCACTCTGTTAGTCACTTTCCCATCACTGTAACAAACCTGAGAGAATCAGCCTATTCAGAGCAAAGGTTTGTTTTGGTTCACAGTTTTGGAGATTCCAGCCCATGATGCATTGCCTGCATTGCTTTTGGGCCTGTTATGAGACAGTACATCACGGTGGGGCAAATGGCTCACCTTGTGATCAGGATGCAAAAAAGAGCAAAAGGAAGGTTCCCCTCGTCCCTTCAAGGACACATCCCCAGTGACATGAGGACAACTCACTAGGCCTTACCTTTTGACAGTTCACCATCTCCCAATAGTGCCAAATAGAGGACCAAGTCCCCTGGACTTCAGCAGCTAGACTTTAGGAGATCCAAACTACAGCACTAACACAATATTCCTATATTCCTCTGTTGCCTTTTAAATGTAAGGAAGGAATTTAAGTCTGAGACCACCTGTAAATGAACTATATTGTCCCAAAGAGACATAAAAATAATCTAAGATTAAAAAGTATTAAGCATAGTGTTGATTTATTTCTTTATAAATAAATTATTTCAACTTGATATTTACAAGAAAACAACAATCCATTTCAATAAGAATGCCTTTTGTCAGGTCTAAGCATTCCTCCAAATATGAAGTTGTGATTCATAGGACCAAAGAATTGGCTAGAAGAATCCAATATGCTAAATCTTACTGCTTAAATGTGGAAATTGAACTTTGTCTCTGTCTTGATCATTATTTTTGCACTGGGACCTTATTCAGCAGTGCCTACCTCCCCTACCCTGCTCACTTACCCCCATGTTGCCTTCTCTCCCTGACATTATTTGTGCAGTCATTGTTTACTCTCAATAGCCTTCTTGGCTCCTTTGAAAGCAGGGGTTACCTTACTCATCTCAGTGTGTTCCCTAGCTACAATGCCCTCAACCAAGTGACCCCAGTAACTCACCCAGGGCTTTGTACACACTAGTGGTAACTGAAGTATTCAGTCAAACCCTAGAAAACAAGTCCTTTTAAAATTAGGTAAATTAAAAAGAATATTGAGGGCTAACAACATAGTAGATGTTCAACAAATATTAATCATTTTGAAGCACTTCCATCCATTTCAATAACTATAGCTAAAAAAGGACATGCCTATCAGTGAATCATTACGGCAAGGGTTTGCTTTCTTGACATATTTCTGCAAGTCTGAGGGGGAGGGGTCCACAGAGATGGGTGCAGCATTTCAAACTCTTGTGTTTTGTGTGCTCTTTAGGGAACCATGTTTGGCTCAAAGACAGGACACTGTGCCATGACAAGAGCCTAATAAGGAAGCACTACTTACTAGTGATAGGGCTTGGTGAGACTGCTGATTGGTTTTGTCAGCTGACTTACTTGAATGTAGTTGTCAACAACTCCCCAAGCAAAGTCACAGGGAAATGTCCCTTCTAGGGGTTGATTTTCAGGTAAAGGAGGGAAGCCATTGTTCTCTATCAGCTTTTGGTAGAACAAGGCTGAAGACTTCGGCAACAACTTCTTATCCTGGCTCAGGAAGTCAACATAGAAGAGTCCACGTCGGACGCTGTAGCCCCTGTGCCATTCGAAACCATCCATGAGGGACCATGCTGTATACCCGATGACATTGACCCCATCCAGCCTGATGGCTGCAGAGGGAAGAGAGGACAGAGCAGAGTGACCTTTCTGTAGGCACTCACCTCAGGATTCAAGAGCATCTGAGAATTCACCTCTTAAAGAAACGGGTCAAGTGTAATGCTTCCTGTCTGGCAAACTAATAATTTTCTTGTTGGCAAAAGGTTCTCACTAAATCTAGATAACTACAAATAAATGTCTTCAAAAATGGGCTTATCTCCAGTATGATTTTATTTGGGTTTCCAAGATGGGATGGTTTCTTATTCCCAATGGTACTCTTCAGTGCCAGGAAGATGTCTTGTTCTCCTTCCTATTCTAGGTAACTAGCATTGTACCTAGAATAAAGTCTTTAAAAGTATAAGCTAATATTTTCTCCAGATAATATAAGCACTTCTTTAAAAAAAAAACCTGTTTTATTCAGCTGAAGCAATAAGAACTCAAAAACAGATATAGAGGGTTAGATATCTTGAGATTTACATTACACTTAACATAATCTAAAATTCTACATTAGTAACTCTGCAAGTGATTTCAAACATTAACTTAGTTTCTCATTTATAAAATGAGCTTTAAAAATTAACTTAAGTCCCTTGAGGCTCCAAACGAGAAAGGTGTTTTGAATAAATGTATTCTTACTATTGCCAAAATGAATCTCTACATTATTATTAAACTATAAATTCACAGTGTATTATAGAATCTTAATGATTGTTTTTCCTGGGGATTTGACAGGGAATGAGAATTTTACCTTTTAAGGTTTCCATTATGAACTTTTTGAGGTAGTACATGTATTTGGCATCATCTCTTTTGGTGGTCCCTGAGACAAACCAGCCATTTTCCACGATAAATATTGAAGGGTGGTCATATTCAAGGTCTATCCAGGTCAGGAGTTGCCTCAGACTGGGAGATTCTAATTGGCGGAATTTCATGTGAGGGTCCAGTAGTTGAAAGCTCAATGTTGGTCCGAAGGAAAGAGCAAAAAAGTCAGCTGTCCCCTTAACGAACTTTTTCTCAGACTCAGTAAAATCAGGCAGAAGAGATGAAAGGTTATTCTTCATGCTCTCAGGATAGTCACCATCAATAAATATGGGTTTGGCAAACCAACCTAGTACAAAGTCAAGAGATTTTTGGCATTCTTTGATGTTATATTCGGTCATTCTTCGAGGACTGATCCAGTGGGAACTCAGGGCGATAGATACCTGGCCTCCCTGAGTGGGACGGAAGGAAGTATTGTAGAGATGCCAGATTTTTGCATGAGCCTATGAAGAGAAAAACCATAGTGAATTCTCTCTAGTTGTGAGGAGAGATGCAATACATACTGGATTCCCCAACTCTATTTGTATCTGTTTCTCATCTAGCCTAACCTAATGACTTATAAAAATCAGCTGGAACCAATAAATTATTTCAGAAGGAGGTCACCCCATAGCGAGTTGCTACCACAATTAGAGTTATTTCCATTATTTTCCTGCAGCCAATGGAAAAAAATGGGAATTTGTTGTGTTGAGTGGATAGTTATTCATATTTTGAAAAGTTAATGAAATAAGAATTTGCTGTATTTTACTACTTCATTGACTTTGGATTATGTATTTTTTAATTAACGGGTTTCATGAAAAGAACCAATCTCCCATCTGTGATCACATCAGGAATTTCTAAATAGGATTATATGTTTTATCCTAAGAGACTAGGAGTTTCCAAATTGATTCAAGTTGTTGGAGTCAACTTAATATTTCTTATTCATCTTTCATAGCCAAAATTCTAACACATGTCCTCATAATCTTATCTTCCCTAAAAATTGATACAATAAACTGAAGGATGAACTCTCATATCTAAGCTTGGCCCAACCCTTCAGAACTCTAGGGCAGTGCTGGCTGGCTCTCTGCAGACCCAGGATGCAAGGGAAAAGCCAAGAGCAAAAATAAAAAAAAAAAAAAAATACAACTAAATACAGCTGTGAGGAGCTAGGCAATGCAATCAACTATAGCTACTCCCATAAAATCTTACTGACCTCTGATATCTTTTCTTTTGTTTCCTTTTCATTTTCAAATAAGCTTATAGGATTTTGTTCCCTCCTACTTGAATGAACCTCTTGTCTTTGAATTCCTTGATTTATTCTCCCTATTTTCCTACAAACTAAGTGCCTTTTACCAGTCTTATATTCTCCTAACATATACTCTTTTAAACTCTAATTCTCTGTTTGATTCTGTATGTTCTCTAAAATGATCATGCCAATTTTCATTCCACTCCCCACTCCCTGAGCCTAAAGAAGCTCTTTGACTCAGTGTGCCAAATATCGTTTTCATTTTTACCAAAATTTCTTCTCCTGCTTCATTTCAGTGCAGCCGTCCAAGAATGGCCTCATCACCATTCTACTGAGTTCATCTAAACATGTCAAGGAAATCAGGTTGTTTGTATCTAACTTTTATTTTTAGTTTCTCAGCAACATCTTCTATATTTCATTTCACTGAATTTTTTTCATGACCTGAAGCAGCAATCCATAAGCTAAGAAAGAAATAGAAACTAAAATATGGATGGAAATAACAGCGGATTTGCCTGTGCAGCCCAAGAACATGAGGACTTAATTATGTCATGTTGCTGCTAGCTCTGTGATGTATTCCATCCTTCTCCATCTTCCTCACGACCACCACACTCTCCCTCCTTTCCCTGTTGACAGGAAGCCTCGTGATGTCATTTAACATGTAAATAGAAAAGCCAGGGAGTGGTCCAGGCTAAGTGTTAGGAATCCACCCTTGGGAACAAGAAGGTGGAATGCTTCCAAGAGACATTGTTAATTTTGCCCAATTTTGACAGGCATCCATCCACTGGAACAGGTGCTAACTAAGAAGAACGAGGGGTCACGTAACCCCAGAATATCTCAGTCTGGGTCAGTTTTGCAGGTAACTGAAGTCACGTAATGGAATTATTCCTAAAATGGTTGTTTTCTAACCTGAGGACTTTGATGTGACTTAGAGAAGATTTGGCGAGGAAATGAGAAGTGACCTGAGGAAGGGCACATGTAGTTGTTGATGTCAGATGAAGTTCCTGTTCTGTTACTTTTTGTGCTTTTGGCCACATTATTTAATCTGAGAAGGTAAGTCCAATTTTTCTGTACCTCTCATAGGGCTGTTGTAAGGATTAAATTAGATAATTTGTGTAAAACTCCTAACACAGACTTTGCCATGGTAGTCTCCACAAATGCTTATCCTTTCTCTCCCTAAAGGAGAGCAAACCAAAAAGGAAGAACATTAAAGGCAAAGCATTTAATTGCCCACAGCAATGATGTAAAGCAATGCCGAAGCCTGGGGTTTGGATGGCAACCCTTCTTCCTATTACCGAGGTAAGTCTCAGTTACTTCTTCTTAACATGCAAATACGTCTCTTCTCCTATAAGGACACTGTGAGAATTAAAAGATATAATGCAAGTGAAAGTGTCTATTAAGTAGTTGATTATTGTAGAGGATACATTTGCAGCATGGGGAAGCATCTTCAATATTCTTGACTTAACTACTCACCCCACTCCAAAGCCCTGCTGCATCTGGCATTTGACTGCTGTCTATGGCAACCCAGCTCCCATGCATGGCATCTTCTCCAGGAAACCTCCCAACCCCACTGGACCCACCATACTGAGCTGCATGTCCAAGTCTCAGACATGCTGCTCTCCCATCATTTACTGTAAATAATGGCACACCATTCCTCAGTCTGGGCTCACCAAGGAGTCCCCTCATCCCCTCCCTGGCACTAGGAAGCCCCCATCATCTACTTAATGGAGTTGAACTCTGCTCCATCACTCACACACACACACGCACACACACACAATGAGGTGATTCATTCTATTTGCAGATGGTAGATTTGAGAAATCAAATACAGTATTATATCACTTTAGGATGTTGCAACAACATGGACGATTCATAGGAAGATGTGATGTGTGGTCTTGTGTCCCTTTTTAATTATTCCAGATATGTTAATCTTATAAATTTATTGTTTTAAGAGTACGACTTAATAAAGCCATGGACAAGTACAAAGAATCAATTAACTGTGTGGACAAAAATGTTCGTCCAAATACTATTTCTAATGGCAAAACACTAAAAATAATTGAAATGCCCAATATTCAAATACATAAACATATGGAATCATTTTAATAATATTATGGTATAAAGCAAAGAAATACTCTGATTCAGACATTATAAATAATTCAAAAGAATATTAACATGTGAAGTAAGTTTCTAAAATACTAACTAAACAAATAAAAACAATTTAAAAAACACTAAGTGGAGCATAAACAGCTTTTTTATGAAAGGAAAAATAGGAACAAAAAGATCTTGAAAGATGTATAACTTGTTAAAAGAAATTTTGTGGCAGGATTGTGGGTGGTATAATTCTCTTCATTTTTTTCATTTCCTGCCATAAATATGGTCTTTAAAGATTTAAAAAAATTAAAATTCTAAAAGAGAAAATGGTTCCTAGCAATTGGAATGCAAGCTCTGCTGGCTGGTTGCTCAAACTCCTGACCTAACCAACCCTTATCTGCTGCTGTCTGAAGTGCCCCATGGTCTATGCCTCAAATCCCAAGTCCCAGAGACCATGAACCCTACTTAAAGTTTTGAGTTTCTCTAGACTTCCACATTTGTGTAACTGAGGCTCTCTAAAGTGTATTTTACCTGATATGACTCCTTCCAGCCACCTCCACTTCAAAACTCAGCTCAGGTATCTCTGTCTCCAGGAAGCTTCCCTGACCGTTTCCTTCTCCTTAGTATTAGTTTAGTGTACATTCTATGTGTTTTCACAGCTGACCTTTCAACAACTTTAACCATATTTTATTGCATTTACTTGAGTTTCTAGATTATAGGTATTTCAAAGCCATTGACTAGGACTTTTATCTCTCTGTCATCCAGTTCTAGCAAAATGTCTGGGACAGAGCCAGTACAGATAAGGAGGGGCAGAGGCTGACAGGAAGAACCAGGTGAAAGGATCTGACACAGATGCAAACATTTTTCCAGGCCAAAGCAGGAAAACTCACAAGATACTCTGGTTCTATTTTATTACTGAACCTTGGGAGGCAGAGAAATTTCATGCACATATACCATTAAAAATTAATGATACACAATTAAAAAAATTAATCAACCAGGCATGGTGGCACACACCTGTAATTCCAGCACTCAGGAGGCTAAGGCAGAAGGATCATAAGTTTGAGGCCAGTCTGTGCTATATAGCAAAACTCTGTTTCAAAAAACCTAATATAATAATAATAATAAGTAAAATGATTTAAAAATTAGGAAGAAGTCAACACAGTAGCCTCCGAGACTAATACTGTATTGTCTCTCAGTATGCTAGTGATTCAGTTTGGAACATAAGTCACTCTGCAGAGAACACAATATCCACCTCACTGTCTTCCTAGACTCAATTTAGATTTTGAAATATTGGGTCTAAAAATGGAGAGAGGAAAAAAGATCTAGTATTTCTTCCTGCCAGTTAGCAAATATTTGCAAATTTTGGAAGTCAAGGAAAATACTCTGAATTTTATAGCACAGACATTTCCTCTCAGGCTAAATTGTAATCTCCTTGTCACTTACTTATTTGTTCCAACACAAAGTTTTAGACAAATAAGGTATTTAAAAATAGCGATTGAAGGGTTGGAGGCATGGCTCAAGCAGTAAAGCGCCTGTCTAAAAAGCATGAAGCTTTGAGTTCAAGCCCCAGTAACACAAAAAGAAAAAAAAAAATAGTGAAGAGCTAGGTGAATGGTTCATGCCTGTAATTGCAGCTACTTGGGAGGTGGAGGTAGGAGCACTGTGGATCAAGGTAGCCCAGACAAAAGTGTGAGTCCCTATCTAAAAAATAACTAAAGCAAAAAGGGCTGAAGGCATGACTCAAGTGGTAGAGCACTTGCCTGGCAAGCACAAGGCCTTGAGTTCAAAACCCCAGTACCATCTTCCCCCAAAAAGTAGGTGGTGAGACCATGTCTACTCTAGCTTTTTGCCTTGGGTCCAGAAATGGGTGAGGAAAATGAAGTCCCAGAAGTATCACACAGTATCCTGGAGCCGGGAGGGCAGAGATCAGAGGTAAAGGCTGCTCGTTGAGGTCTTGGAGAGAAGAAAGCTGCAAAAGGCAGGCCCAGAGTCTGCCTGAGGATTTCCCAAGGGTCCTGTGCACACAGAAGAAGATTCTATGAAGCTACCACACGACCCAGAGCTGAAAACCAAAGGTTACCCAAGGCTGCAAAGCACTGCAATTCAGAGTAGACAGAGAAGAGAAGACTGGCTGAT